TGCCCCGCTCCCCAGCCTCATCCCCTTCCACGCCTCACGCACCTGTGACGCCACACACCCGATCCAAGCTGTGATCGCCTGCTGCCGAGGCGACAGCTTGGATAAAACAAGTCCGGGGAAGAGTGGGTGGCTGGAGGAGCGAGGCCGACGGGAGGGGTAAGGCCAGTACCGAGCTGCTCAGCCCTAAGGAGCGGATCGCCGGAGCGTGGAAGTAACCGGACTCCTGTTCTTCCTGTAAACCTTACAGCACAAACGCACACTGACACCTCCCTCGTCCTCTTCGCTCATTAATTGCAAGTGGACAAGGTGTTTCCAGCTGCCCCTATGAATTAAAAGCTTTGCACAAGCCACTGTGGCACGAAACTGCAATCAGGCAACCACAGGTTATAAAAAACCAACAACTTGAGGCAGCTGAGGTTACCAAAGCTGGGAAGGTCAATAACAAAGCGAGTCACCCCCTTTTCTTGAAAATGTTTTATTTGTTTCTAAAGAGGCTGAAAACATAAAGCAATTCTGTATTTCAGAATACCAAATACCATCCGTAGCACAGAACGGAAAGTTTTCAGAGGAAACCATTGCACTAGACCCAGACCTACTGAGCTGCTCCGGAAGCTGCAACCAGGCTGGCGGCCAGCCCCGGGGGCGGCAACACCCTCCCGCCGCACGCTGCCCGCTGCAGCTTCCTGCCCCGCTGACTCCTCACAGACCCGCACCACGTGCTCCTCCCCGCAGTCGGGCGGGCGCTGCTCAGCCTTGGCACAGTCATGGGTGCTCTCAGGCACTGAAAAACAGAGGGGGGCACCCAGGAGGGCACCTCCGGAGCTGGCTCCTCCGGGGCAGGCCCAGGCACGCCAGCAGGCAGGTCTGCATGCACGCTGCATTGTTTTGGGACAAAACAGGCTGCCAACACCAAGTCCAGGCAACCTGGCGTTAGTATAACCAGGTAGAAAATACGAGCAGCATAAAAAGTTGCAGAGATCCCCACAGCCCCGGCGGTGGAAGCACCGGGGATTTTATACCCATGGTCAACGCGGCAACCTCTCGCCCTGGGCAGAGCAGGGCGCAGCACCGTGGCATCCAGCATGCTGCAACCGCTTAGGCCAAGGGGCAAGTTTGGCCGCTGGGATACAGGCGACTGGCAGTCACCTTCGGGCTGTTCCTGAAGAACGACCCCCTGCACGGAGGAGCACATCGATTTCCTCGCAGCTGCCTACCCCAGCGTAAGGAAGTCCTCAGTGACCGCAAGAGAAACTGGCTTCAAAAAGCAGATCACTGCAAGACACATTTATGATTGACAGAAAAATCCAGCCATTGAAAACAACAGTCTTCCTGTACCAGACGTTCCACAGGGGAAAAGCTGCATTTCAGTTCTCAGGAAGAGAAAAAGCAACAGAGCTACTCCCGGCAGAAACCGTGCACCCCAGTCTCCTGTAAACTACCAGGGGGCTTGCTGGTGATTGTGTCGCTGGTTTTTTGCCTAGAAAGGCTGCTACAAAAAGGTCATCGATATTCTGACTCACTGCAGCCGTGCACGTTTGGAACTCGCTGCTGAAATCACCGCGTGTTTGATGAGTTAGGAAGCAGCACGGGGCTCGACGTTGCCAAGTGTTGAGCTCAAGTAAGATTCCACCAGAATCCCGAACCGTCTGGGCTGGCCTGGCTGTTACTTACAGTGTGCGGCACCGCTAAAGGTCTTTCGCCTGCTGCTGCCCCAACATTTTCCAGCCTAATTCACTGGGTGGGTTTTTAACTGAGCTGACAATGGGCACCGACACCTTTGCCAGTTGCCACGCAGCAGCCATCTCCGAGAACTTCCAAGGCGGGACTGGGAAAATAAGGCAACTACAGGAGAACCTGGAAGTCTCAGTACGAAATCGGAGTTCGTTTGCTACAGCACGGAGCAGGAGTACGTTTGGTTAAGAGAAGGATTTCTTTTCTGAGACTCTGGCCCAGAACAGTTGGTCACAAACTACTGCGATGTTCATATTGGCTTGTACAGCAAAGTGGTCACGTACTTCTTCTTGTAACGATGCGTAGCGCTGAGCACCATCACTCCGTCCTACAGGAGATGGAAAACAGGTGAGACACACGGTTATCTCCAAGCTGCAAGTGAGCAGAGCGTGCCCTGGGCTCTCACCTTGATAGAAAGCGCGTAGAGGTGGTTCAGCATGACATGGTTGGGTTCAGGGAGTAGAGCAGGGTCGCACTGGAGAAAAGAGAAGGTGAGACAGTGTGAAAACGACAGACCTCACAGTTTACTCGTCACAGCAGACGGGCGACAAACAGTGTCTGTACAGAGCCACACCCTCAGACACATTGCACTGCTTCTCGCGCCCAGTCCGCCAACAGACGTCGACACAGGCTCAGAACAATCCCAGATCCCTCCAGGGCGAACCCTCTGCGCCCTCGCTGCCGTCGCCCAGCAGACCTCAGGGACTTCCTACGTGCTTCTGCCCTTTACGAGTGTCGCAGTGGGCAGATTCGGGTTTCGGGGAGTACGACAGCCATCTAGTTTCCTTTTCAATTTTGAAGACAGTCAAGTAGAAAAATAACTTTACTTCAGATGGATCCATCTGGACGTACGTGATAAGGAAGTTACAGACATGGCAACGACTCTGAGGCGTTTCCTTGCCTGTCCCCGCCCCATGCCCAGGTTTGTTCCCCACCTGTTCACACCCTCGCGGCCACCACTCAGCAAAGCAAGCTCCGGTACTCACAGAAATGCCCGTGTCCTTGTTCAGGATGACCTGCAGCAGGTGCGGGGGAAGAATAGGCGGCGATTTAAAACGCTCCTCTGCCTTACACACATAGGGCTCCTGGTGGTACGGGCCTGGGGGTGAACTCGACAGCTCTGTCAGAAAGATGTTGAATATTTATTCGTAAATAGTTTGTAAGAATATCTGCTCTTTGCAGGTACGTTTTCACCAGCAGTCCAAAACAATTTTCACATCCAGGAACACAGAATCATAGAATCATAGAAAGTTTTGGGTTGGAAGGGACCCCTAGAGGTCATCTAGTCCAACGCCCCCACAGCGAGCAGGGACACCACTAACTAGATCAGGCTGCTCAGAGCCCTGTCCAACCTGGTCTTGAACGTTTCCAGGGATGAGGCCTCCTCTACCTCTCCGGGCAACCCATTCCAGGGTTTCACCACCCTCATTGTAAAGAATTTCTTCCTTATATCCAGTCTAAACCTACCCTGTTTTAGGTTAAAACCATTACCCCTCGTCCTGTCACTGCTGTCTCTACTAAAAAGATTGTCCCCATCTTTCCTGTAGGCTCCCTTTAAGTACTGAAAGGCTGCAATCAGGTCTCCCCGCAGCCTTCTCTTCTCCAGGCTGAACAAGCCCAACTCTCTCAGCCTGTCCTCATAGGAGAGGTGCTCCAGCCCTCGGATCATTTTTGTAGCCCTCCTTTGGACCCGCTCCAACAGTTCCATGTCCTTCTTGTGATGAGGGCTCCAGAGCTGAACGCAGTACTCCAGGTGAGGTCTCACCAGAGCAGAGTAGAGGGGCAGAATCACCTCCCTC